GGACAGAGGATAAACACACACACACACGGCGTGAGTTGTGCCCCCCGGACACAACTGAGTTCCTGGGGGTGTGGACACCCCCTGCCTGCACCCTCTTGGTCCCCCTCTTGAACACAGTCCTCTTGGCTGTGCCCCGGGGAACACGCTCGGAGGGCAGAGCGCCGTGCTGGGAGATGGGAGGGCTGGCTTCCTCCAGGATCTGCCCCTCACTTGCTACATAATCTGAGGAGACGCCTCTCTGGGCCTCGGTTTCCGCATCTGTGAAATGAGGCGCTCGGACCAGAGGTGATGGGCACCTGCCCGCCCCGGGGCCTCACGTGGCTTCCAGGGCACGGGGCCAGTCCTCTTCCAGGGCTTTGGCTGCTGACGGGGGTTAGCCCCAGGGCTGGTGATGTATTTCCAGACGCTCACCTGGCCGGCCTCAGCTTGCCTGGTCCTCCAGCTGTGCGGCCCGGAGCAGTGATGTCACCGCTGGGGAGACGGTGACCTCCGATGGGGGTTATCCTGCCCTAGGCTCCTCTGGCCCACCCTAAGACCTGCTTCCTATAGGGAGCCCTTATGGGTTACTCTGCTGCTCTGAACACCTCCCAGCTAACCTGGACCCTCGCTGTGGGCTAGACCCTCATTTGGGTGTGGGTCGGGCCTCTCCAAGTAGATCGGACAGACTCAGAGGCAGGGCAGGGGTCTCCAGGGCAGAGCAAGGAGTCCTGGCTCAACCCTAACCGGCTGTGTGACCTTGGGCAAGTCACTCTCTCTCGCTGGGCCTCAACTCTTCTCTTGAAATAGGAATGACTTTCCAAACGGGGTCCTTTAGGTGCCTCCCAGTGGAGAGCAGGTGGGAGGCCTGACCTGGAGCAGGTGGCCCTGAATCTGTGGCAGCAAGAGACTGGATAATTCCTGCTCTCATGGCTTTAATGTCGTCCCTGGGCTGATGTTGCCTGACTCCCGTCTCCAGCCCCAGGCCCGCGTCCACACTCTCAGCCTGAACTCTGGGCAGAACTCTGGATTCCCTGCTCCCCGCTGGCCATCCCAGCTCAGGAGGTGGCACCACTGCCCACGTGGTTGCTTAAGCTAAAAGCCCACGGGTCCCCTCGCTGCCCACACGGGTGACTCTCACACATGGGGAGCAGAAAGCCGGCACGTGGAAGGAGCAGGTGCCGTGGCTCCAGGTGCAGGAAAGTCAGGAACAAGGAAGGGGAGGATGGGTCCCCTTGGGCGGGGGGCGGGTGCTGACCAGAGGGAGCACAGGGGAGCTTCTGGGGATGGAAACCACGTGTGTCTTCATCTTAGAGCCGGTTTTGTGGGTATGTCGAGCTAAAAATCTGATCATCAGTGCCGATTCTCTTCTCTCGGCTACTTCGTACAGCAGGAGACAAAAATCCCAACTCTCATACACCCGCGTCCTAGCAGGGGCGGAGGCGGGGGGCAGCCGCTAAACAAGAAAAACAGATAAACATGTTGTCAATTGAGAGTGGGAAGAGCTAGGAGGCAAAGGAGGCGGGGTGGGGGACATGAGCCCAGAGGGCAGCGGGGGAGGGCGCCAGGAGCCCACGGTGAGATGTTCCCGCAGGCCCCGCACCCGCCAAGGCTCTTGGGGGGAAACGTTTATGGGGTCAGGACTGTCGTGGGTTCCAATGGGTCCCTGTAAGTGCTAAGGAGAAGCAGGACGGGGGAGAGGATTGGCAGCTGTCACTTTAGGGGCTGGCATTGGAAGCTGATGTCTTGAGGGGTTGGTAGTTTAGACAGGGCACCCCCAGTTCCGTTCCTTGGAGAACTTCATATCTGACCCGATCTGCTGCTATGGTCTTCTCTTGGAGGGGCCCCCCAGTCCCCGAGGGCAGGGCCGCCCTGGTCCTCGCCCTGCTGCCCAGCTCCCAGCCGTGGCCCCTGGGGCCGGGGCTCCCTTATATGTGATGGACGTGAACCGGCTTCGGAGGTGGCCTGCCTTTGTGTATCAGGCGCACGTCCTTGCCACGAGGTTTCTTCTGACACCATCTCGGGATGCTCTCTTGGCCTGGCCGCTCTGCTCTGAGCTGTTCCCTGCAGGAGGGGAGGGCGTGGGCTGGGCCACCTGACCTGCGCTCCGTCTTATCTCAGTTGCTCCTCGCTGGGTGGCCTTGGCAAGCGCCTTCTCTCCCTGAGTTGACTTCCTGGACTGTGAAATGGGGATAGTCACATGTGGGCCGAGTGCTGTAAGGCAGGGGTCTCTTGCAGAGGGTCCTGGCCTGTGCGAGGAGCTGGGAGCTGGGATGCCCATGGCCCACTGGGTGTAGGAATTGGGAAGAGCAGGAATTCTTAGGGAAGAGTAATTAACTGAGGGTGCAAGGAGTTGGATTGTGGCCTGTGTCACTTGGGGAAAGTCACCTCCCTTCTCTGATCCTTGCTTGGTTCCAAGATAAATGGCGTGGCTGCCCTTGGGGCCCGGGGACCGGGACAGGGCTTGTGGAACTCCATCTGGGGACGGGAGGGGAGGGCGTGGGGCGGTGTCGGAGGCGGGGGCAGCGGTGGTTCAAAGTGTCTGGGACAGACAATGGGCGCTGTGTGTGGGGGAGCGGGGCGGGGCGGCGTGGGTGGCACGGTGGCACCCCAGCAGGAATGTGCTGGCCTGTCTGGGAATGCGAGCGCATCGCTCCCCTGGTGCCCGCTCCCTGATGGTGGGCTCCGTTGCTGGCCGTGCCCACCCTGCCACGAGGGTTGAGAGCCTGGAGTGGCTGAGGGAGCAGAGGGCTGAGGAAGGCACTGGCAGGCAGTTCCGGGGTCCCCACCCTCTGCAGGCCTGAGCAACCTCCCTGGGCCTTGGAAGAAGGATCGGGGTGGGGCCACGGAGCTGTCCTCTGCCACGGACCTGCTGGTGACCTGGGGGAAGTCCCTGCCTCCCTCCAGGCCTGTTTCCCCATCTGTGTCGATGGTCTGATCGCCCTGTAGAAACTTCTTGGTTTAAAACAACTCTCGTGTCCCAACTACCTCCCTCATACTCCCCTCCTTGGAGAGGGGACTTGGTGTGTCTTGGTCACCACTCTGTCCCCCAGGCCCAGAACAAAGCCCGGCCATGGCTGTGCTCAGCAGACATTTGCTGAACGAGGCATTTTCTTTATTATTCGGATAATTTCCTGCTTGCTGCCCCAAGTCCTTTCTCTGCCTTCTCCTCCTGCCCTGTGGCTTCCCCTTTCAGTGGGTCCTTCTCCACAGCTGCTGGTGGGATTCAGCCGGTGGGAGGCACTGGCAGATGGGAGGGCGGGAGGGGAGGGGTGTTTCTCCCTGCCCCCTCCTTGGTCCCGGCTGCGGCCCCCCGGGATGCAGCTCTTTCTCCGTGTGGCCTTCTCCCTGCCTCTCTCCCTCTGCCTTTTGGAAGCCTCGGCCCCTCCCTGCCCCTCGGCTCTGGGGACGGCCCTCCAGGGGCCTCGAGCCTCATCTGCCCACGGCTCAGAGTGGGTGCATCCCCACTTTCTTCTTCTGAAGCCCCTGATATCTGTTTCCTGCCGGGATGCTGACACGGGCTTCAGGGCCCACTGGCTTTCACGACTCCCATTTACAGATGAGGAAGCTGAGGCCCAGGAAGGGGCTGTGACCGGCTCCCATCTCTGTGGCTGGGGCGTGCTAACATTTGAACCCATGTCTCTGTCACTCCAGGGTCTGGGGCCTGTGTCCTGGGCAACCCTTGATTTTCAGCTTTTCTGATGATCACAGTACTAAAAGCTTCGAATGCTCAGGTGGAATGCCCAGCAAGTAACAGATATAATCACAGTCATGTTCCATGACTCTCACTAGCCAAAGACTGGGCCCCGGGCCAGCAGCTCGGCTCGGTGGAGGCGTCTCCTCCACTCCCCTCCCTGGCGGGGCAGTGAGGAGAGGAGGCTGGGGGGCCAGAGGACTACTCATCTGAGGCCTGTGTCAAGCAGGTGGAGTAGAGGGCTGAGAGCCCCCCAGGACGGTCTCCATCCATCCACGGGCTGTCTCCATCCTGCAGCCCGGAGGGCAGGCGGCCCCCTTCCTGGGGAACTCCCGGCTGGTGAGTCCAGGGGCCAGACAGCTCCCAAACTGCCGAGGTGGCCACTGGATGATTTCATGGGCCTTTCCCACCCCTGAGTCACCCGAGCCTCACTCCCTGACCCCTGGGCACCTTTGGAGGGAGGGGAGGCGGCTGGCTGAGCTGGAAGGCAGGGCAGGGTGCTGTTACCTAACGGTGCGGAGGTGCAGAGGGAGCCGGGGAAAGGAGGCCGGCGGTGGTGCTTCTGAGGTACTGTGTGACGGAGCATCCTGCCCCTCTCTGGGCCTCAGGGACCATATCACCCCCTTCCGGGGGGTTCGTCTAGAATTCCCCTCACTCCACCTCAGGCCTGCTGGACTTGGCCAGCTCAGGACTGTGGATGTGGCTGCACCAAGTGTTGGAAAGAATAAGTCCCTGTCTGTTTGTGTGTCTGTCTGCTCCCCGCCCCTCTCAGCACAGGTGTGAATCAGCCCAGGTGAGGAAGCTGACTCACCTTCGCCACCTGGCCCTGGAGAAAGGGCCACTTTCCCTTCCCTGGGGCTTGGGATGGAACTTGGACTTGACTGTTACTCTCAGAGAGGGTGGCTCTGCCATGGGGGGGACAGAGTGCAAGGACTTAGGGTGTCAGGTCTGTGGGAGGAAGTTGTTGAGTACCTACTATGTGCCAGGTTCCTGGCACCCACTCGGCAGACACGATCTCAGAGGATCCTCACACAGGCCTGCTGCCGGTGCCCTCATTTTGCAGATGGGGAAACTGAGGCTCAGAGAGGGAATCGACTCACCTAAGATCGCACTGCCCAGGCAAGTGCCTGTGGATGAACGTTTGACCCATGCCTGGGATTCTCGTCCTTGGAGGAACTTTCTTGCTCTGTCTTACTCCCTCCAGCCCCCCAGCCCTGCACTCTGAGTTCAGCTGCCTCTTCCTTAGAGACCAGGGGCAGATGGGAGGGGCAGAGACAGGGAGGGGTGGGGGGTGCAGAGCCAGCCGTCACACTCCGACCTGCGTCACAGGGTCCAGGGGTCGCCAGGGAAGAGGTGAGCTCCTCCTCTGTGCCCCCATCTTGGGTGAAGGGTTTCCCCCACAGTTCTGCGGTTGTTAATCTTTAATAGCCTGATGATTAATTAATTACCAAGACCCACGGGGGCTCAGTTGAGTGTTCCTGGTGCCTGTGACCAGGGCACCCTCTCCTCAGCCCCTGTCCCCCCCGTGCGAGCTGGGAGACAATGGCCAGGCCCACCAGACTCCCGGACACAGAGGGGGGCATCATGGTCACTGCTGTGGGCAAACTGTGCTCTGTCCTGGGCGCTGGCCACAGCACAGCCTTCAGGGGACAGGGACAGGGCAAGGGCCGCCAGAGGAAGGAAGACAGAAGCCCAGAGGCCAGGCTGGGCGAGGAGGGCCTCTGGGGCCTCCTCCCAGCCTCCGATACATGGGGTCTCTTTGCACTCTGCGGGGCGCCCTGGGGCCTTTGTGTCCTCTGCGTCCAGCATCGTGCTGGCTCTGGGGCGAGCTGGGGCCAGCCGGCGTCTGCTGACTGGACAGGACGGGCCCAGGCTGGGTTCTGAGCCTTCCGCCCCTGCACAGCCCGAGCCTCAGTTTCCCTCTCTACCTCACTGTCCATGCTTACCTCACAGGGTAAACAGGGAAGAACGACTCTCTAATGGAAACAGCGGGGGGCGGCAGCTGCGGGGAGTGGAGGAGATTTGGGGCCAGGCTTCTTGCTGAGAAGCAGTAGGATAGGTCACGTGGCTCCTAATTCAGGAGGTGGCCTTGGCTAAATCCTTTCTTCTCTTTCAGCCTCAGTTCCCCCACCTGTAAAATCAGGGGCTGGGATCAGTGAATGCCCAGGACCCTGGGGGCACCTGTAATGGGTGAGCGGGTCATTGGTGCCACGCAGAGGCCCCCAGCCCACGGCTCCCCTCCCCTCTCCATCCCCACCACACCCCAGGGTGCTCAGCTCATACTCCCGGGCAGGTGTGGGCTGTGCATGTCAGCCGGTCATCTCTCCAGGATCACAGGAAGGCTCCTTATGGGGAGGTCTGAGGACCTTGGGCAGCTTCCAGCCTGGTCAGCCTGGGCAGGTGCGAGCAACGTCAGCCCTGCTCGTGTTGACCATTTTTGCCTCATGGCTGAGGGGACGGAGCCTCCCAGAAAACCTGAGACTCTGACCCTGGGGGGTAAGGGATCTTTGAAGACATCTGGTCTTCTGGGAGTTGAGAATTTTTAAAAATTGAAATGAAATAACACCAGTGATACCTAAATCCATAAACATGCTTTCCTTGCAGGAAGGCACATCTACCTTCCCACCCGTAGGGTCGAACAGTGTCCCCCAAATCCATGTTCTCCCAGAACCTCAGAATGTGACCTCGTTTGGAATAAAGGGTTTTGCAGATGTAGTTAGAATAAGGATCTCGAAATAAGATCATGCTGGAATTGGGCGGATCCTAAATGCAAGGAGAGCATCCTTCTAAGAGAAAGGAGAGCGAGAGTTGAAAACAGAGCCGCAGGAGAGAAGCCATGTGCGCATGTGCGACAGAGCCGCAGGAGAGAAGCCATGTGCGCATGTGCGACAGAGGCAGAGACTGGAGTGACGCAGCCGCGAGCCAAGGAACGCCGGGAGCCCCGGGGAGCTGGACAAGGCAGGGACACAGTCTCGCCCGGAGCCTTCGGACTGAGTGCGGCTCTGATTTGACTTAGCACTTGTGGCCTCCAGGACGGTGAGGATAAAAGTCTGTATTTCAAGTTATCCTGTTCGTGGCGATTGGTTACAGCCGCCATTGGAAACCAACACGTACCCCCATCCCAGCAGGCCCTTCACGGTCCGCTGTCTGTCCCTCCGGGCGGCTCTCTGCTCTCCACAGGTAACTGTACTGTCTTTGCAGGAGTGGTGCTTTTAAACCTTAAATAGGCGCACACCCCACGCCATGCTGTCAAGGGCTCTCAGCCCCCCGCCACGTGTATCTGGGAGAAGCTCCGAGGTTCTTGCTACAGTGACGTCATCCTTTCTAACAGCTGCAGGTAGGCCCCTGTGGGACCCTCCCATCCCTTATGTGACGAACCCTCACTGTTGGACACTCAAGTTCTCTCCAGCTTTTCTCCTTGGTACGTGATGCCACGGTGAACATCTCCGCACCTTCTGCACACGCTCAATGATTTTCGGAGCATCGAATATTCCTTAGAAGAATGGTTGGGCCAAAGGCTAAGCTCGTTTACAGTTCTATTGGTTTTGTCAAACTGAGTCAAAATGTATTGGAAACTTAGACCCTTGAGAAGGACAGAAGCCTGGAAGCAGACTTCCGGATTTTGTAGTGTTGGATACTTCCAACCCCTGAGTCAAGGAAAGTTAGGGCACGGGGGAGGGGCCTTAGAAAGGACATCTGTGCTGGGGTCTTGGGGGAACCCAGGAGCGGCCACTCCCAAACCCTGCCTGGGTCTCTGTCGCCCTGGGGTGGGCGAGGAGAAAGCAGAGGAGATAGACTGGGGGCCCCGGGAGTTCTGGCAGCGGGGAGGCACCTCTCCAGCCTGGGCACCCAGCTCGTCTGCCCCAGTGAGGTTGCCCCTGTCCAGCCGAGGTGCCAGGTCAGTTGGGCCTCTGTGTGTGAATGGAAAGGGCAAGGTGGGGGTGGAGGAAAAGGGGCCACCTGCTCTGGGACTGATTTGCTGGCCCCGGCTGGAGCTCTGGGGTCTGGGGCAGGGGGCTCTGGACTCGACAGTGATTGCCTACCTTGGGGCCATCTCCCTCCCCACTCTGGTGGTTTTAGAACATGCCACCCTCCCCCCTCCAATTATTTGACATTCCGCTTATGGAGAAGTGGACACTTGAATCTGTGCTCTGGATGCTTGAGCAAAGTGGTGGAAGTGGTACTGTGTCAGAGCCCAGACCCAGGCTGTCACCAACTGCAGCTTCCATGACCCGTCTCTTGGGATGCTCGCTCTTGGAACTCAGCCACCATGCTGTGCGGAAGCCCAATGGCCCCATGGAAAGGCCATGTGGAGAGGAACAGAGGCCCCCAGCTCTCACCCCCGCAGGGCTAATGGGTCCTTCAGGCCCCGAGATCCCCAGTTGATGCCACCTGGAGCAAGGATGTGCCTTCCCTCCTCAGCCTGCTTCACTTGCAGAGCGGAGAGCAAGAGAAATGATTGCTCTTGTTTTAAGCCACTAAATTGTGAGGTTATTTGCTACATGGCAATAGATAGCTACAACACCCCATGGCCAAGGAAGTCGCCACTAGCATGTGAGCGTGGGCTTTGCGGTCAGACCCACCAGCCGTGTGCCAAGACCTCTCTCGGCCTCAGTTTCCTCATGGGCAAATAGTGATAGTGATAGTACTTGCCCATAAGGTGCTGAGAGGTGAAACGAGATGGTTCCTGGAGAGGGCCTGGCATGGCATGAGTGCATGGTATGTGGTAGCTGTTCTGACTGCTGACTGTTACTACGGTTATGTTCATAGGTGCTAGAAAATCACTCACTCCAGGCTTCATTGCAACAGACAGATCCTGCACTGCTTGTTCCTTTGGGGGCCTCATCCTCCAGGAAGCCGTCCCTGACCTCCCAGGCTGAGCTGGCACCCCTCTGCAGCCCCCATTCTACCCTCTGCTGCAGCGTGCGCCCCACTGTGCGGTCACGGCCTGTTTATGGCCTCAGGCTGCAGCTCCCTGAGGGCATTGTTAGAAGGACCAGAAAGCAGTTGAAGTGTGCAAAGTGAGGACAAGGTGGGTGCGCCCATAGGTGGGTTCCTGGGGATGCTTACGTAGCCGAGTGATCCTCAGCCGGCCTGTGCACCCTGACTGTGCACTTGAGCCTCTGTGTGTTCTGGCGGGCCTGTACGAGGTGCGTGTGTGCATGTCTGTGCATGGAGCCATGTGCATGGCGCGTCCATGTGCGAGTGTGCGTGTGCTCCTGGGGGCGGTCTGCAGCAAGGAAAGTCTTGCAGCAGCTGCTACATCCGGGTCCCACCAGCCCTCACGGGGGAACTAAAAATAGCCTGTGCCCAGCCCTGACCCAGCGGGCAGGGGGCCGAGGGGCAGCCCCGCAGGGCACCCCGGCCGGGCTGTTGCCCTCCTCCCTCCTGGGGCCACCGCCCTGCCTGCGGCCCAGTCTCGGGCTCCCATGAGCTCATGCCGGCCCTGGCCAGCAGGGCGGGGAGGGCAGCCCAGGGCTGAGGCCCTGCCCACGGCCGGCGCTGGACACAGGCAAGGCCTGATAAGGTCAAGCTGGAGTGGGGTCCGCCCCTCCTCCAGCCTGGCCGCGGGCGGACGTGAGTCAGCACAGGGGGCATCGGGCAGCCCGGCTGACGCTGCTGGCAGCAGGGGAGGCCGGGGGTGGGCCGCCCGGGCAGGGCAGGGACTGGCCAGGAGGAATCACCTGCTGCCTCGGCCAAGCCCTGACCTCAGTCCCCACCTTGAGGACCCCACCTCCACTTCCGCCGGGAAAGCCCCTCTCAGAGGCTCCCCCGGGCTTCCTGCCCTGGTCTGGGATCACCCCTGGCCTTGGGAGGGCTGTCGCCCACCGGGCCCCAGGGCGTCCACACGCCCCTGCCCCAAGACATCCTCTCGGACCCCCCAGCTGGCCACGACAGACCCTGGCTGTGGAGCTGAGAAAGGGGGGCACCTGGGAGGAGCAGGGACGCTCTGAGAAGCTGGCCCCTGAGCTCTGAGCCAGCTTCCATAACTTCTGCTCGTATGACTCAGTTTCCTCATCTGTAGAATGGGCTTATGACTGCCTGCCCTCACAGAGTTGTCACGAGGATTGAAGGGCTCTTGGCACATAGTAGGCCTCATCCGGGCTAGCTCCCCTCCCACATCCTCTCTAGCTCCCAGGGAGCTGGCCCCAGACCCCAGGACACCTGCAAATCCCCCTTCACTTCCCAGGCTCAGAGAATGACAGGAGGGGGACAACCGAAAAAAGCAAAAAACTGATATACTTGCTGAAGTGACCAACAATCCAAACACGTCAAGGGGTGTGGAGTGAGTGGTCCCCTCCCACGCCCTCCCCCGTCCCTTTCTAGAATATTCTAGAGATGGCCTATGCAGACACATACAAAGACAGATTTATATCCTCTTCTCCACCTTAAACACACACCGCGGACGGCAGAGTTCCCTCCTGCACCCGGAGGAGGGCCTGTGTCCATGCATGCAGAGCCCCCTCGTTCTCATCTGTGGTGTGTGTCCCATCATTACTTAGCCAGACTGTGGCCGGAAGTGCTATTTATTTGTCTGTTTGTTAAGACAAGGGAGCAGCTTCCCGGAAGGGTCCCTCCTCGAGTCTGCGGAGGGAGACCTGGGTCTGAGTCAGGTCTGGACGTCCCACTCAAGGGACCTGGCACATCTTGCCTCAGTTTCCCACCTGTGAGATGGTGGCCGCATCCGTCAATGAGACCGTGTTGCTACCTGCTGGCCCACAGGCTGTATCCTGTTTATGGATGTGTTCTGCTCCTCAAACTTTTCCAAAATCTGGAGATTTCACATTAAAATCCAGACTTCTGGATTCTCTTGAAAAATTAAATGTCTGGCAACAGCTGGCTAGAGTCAAGGAGCAGCTGCCCTCTCCGGACCGGGCGAGGGTGCTCTGCTTGGCCCAGCCCCCACTACTCTGCATTGCTCCTCCTCAGGAGCATCTGTGATGCTCGCTCAGAGTTGTGCAGACACAGTGAGGGCTCTGAGCGCAGGGTCCCCAGCGGCCAGCGCAGGCCCAGTTTCACCCTCTTGCTGGATCCTCAGGGTGTCTGGGACTCAGTAGCCAGAGCCGCTGCTGGTCCTGGAACCCAGGGCCGAGCAAGAGGCTCCAGAGTGTCCTCCTGCCAGACGGGAAGCGGAAGTGCCATGTCCGGGATGGGCCCTGGGTCTGGGCTCCCAGCCAGGCAGCCGTGTCCTGGGAGGCAGGAGCCGAGACTTCTTCCCTCTGCTGGAGCCGGAAGCTGGGCTCCAGGCACCTGGAGTTCTCATCTCCTGGTCCCCAGGATGCGGATTCCGGCACACGACCCCCACGCCTTCCTCTTCCCCACCTACGTTTGGCAGCCACATCCTGTAGCGGTGGGTGGGGCCCAAACAGGAGGCAGGGATGTGGGTGGAATCCCGGGAGACCTGAGGGGCATCCTTTCTCAAGGGCAGTTGAAATCTCTTCTTGGCCCCAGGGTGCCTTGGAGCACGGTTTGAAAAACACTGATGGAGCCCTTTTGATAGATGGAAAAACAGAGGCCTGGAGGGGGGAAGGGGGAGAGTCAGACCCTGGGGGCCCTTGTAGTCCCCACTTCCCAAAATCTGCTACAGGGCCTGGCAGGTGAAATTGCACTTCACAGTGCCCCCAGCCCACCTGCCCTGGCAGCCCCCTGCTCTCATTGTCCAGAAGGCCAGGGAGGCGTTGGGGCTCCATGACTTCCCGTGTAGGACACCCCACATCTGCAAGTCTCACTCGGCTGCATCTGCCAAATGCCCACCTCACAGGGTTGTGAGGAGCGACAGAGATGACAATGCGAAGAACAAGATGGCCAGGCCTAGCAGCTCCCACTCCCTGCGCTCCGACCCGAGGCTGCACAGGCGGGCTCCGAGCGTCGCCTTGGTTATCGAGACAGAATTTACCTCCCATAAAGCTCGCCCATTTCAAGTGTGTGGTTCAAGGGTTTTCAGTGTATTTACAGAGTTGTCCAACCATCACCATCTAATTTTAGATTGTCCCCAAATCTAATTTTGTCTAATAATGTAAATTAGATTGTCTAAAAAATCTAATTTTACATTGTCGCAAGAAGAAATCCAATACTCACGAGCAGTCCCTGCCATTCCTCTTCTCCAGGCCCCGGAAACACCAGTCTACTCTCTACGGATTTACCGATTTTGGACATTTCATACAATGAAATCATATAATATGCCGGCTTTTGTGACTGACTTCTTTCACCGAGCAAAGTGTCGTAGCGTGTATCAGTACTTGATTCTTTTTTACGGCTGGATAATATTCCACCATATAGATACACCATTTTGTTTATCCATTCGTCCACTGATGGACATGTGGGTTGTTCCACTCTTTGACTGTTACGAAGAATGCTGCCAGGAACATCCCCGCCCAGGTCTTTGCGAGGACGTGTTTCCGTTCCCCTGGGGTGCATACCTAGGTGGGAACTCCTAGGTCATATGGTAACTCTTTATTTAACATTTTGAGAAACTGTTCGACTGTTCCCGACGTGGCCGAATCATTTTTCGTTCCCACCAGCAGGGCATGAGGACCTCCATGTCTCTACGTCCTCACCGACACTGTTACTGTCTTTGTGCGTACAACCGTCCTAGTGGGTGTGAGGTAGTATCTCGCTGTGGTTTTGATTTTTATTTTCCTAAAGACTAATCACATTGCCCATCCTTTCACGTGCTTATCAGTCATTCATAGATATTTTCTGGAGAAACGTCTATTCAAATGGCAGCATCTTGTTTAATCCTCACAAAAACATCATGGATCTCTACTGTTCCCAGCTCCACTGATGATAATGAGAACACTGAGGTTCCGAGGAGCTCCTGAGAGACGGTGGGGAAGGGCTGGCGAGGGTGGGCCACCATGCTGGGGTACCAAACCGGGAGGAGGGACCTCATGCGCCACAAAGTTGTGCGGGTGGAGGGCGTGGGTGATGTGGGCAGGAGGTTGAGGACTGCTGGGGCTGCGGGCTGGAAGACTGAGCCCTGAGTCCTATTTCTGTCTTCCTCTGTCTTGCTCTGTGACCTTGGGCAAGACACATCCTACTCTGGGCCTCAGTTTCCCAACTAACAATGCCTCTATTCTGCTGTGAGAGCCCAATTTGGTTCTCTAAGTGAATTCACTGAAGGCAAGATGAGGGGCTTGGTGGTTTAGACCCCAGGGGCCCCCACTCTAGTCACTGGCCCACCGGGGCTGGCTGCAGGCGGGGCCTCTGCTCTGGGTCCCCAGCCAGCCTGCCCTCCTGGGCACCCACACGGGCAGGTTGTGGGTCTTCAGGAAGGCCCTGCTCAGGCTGGGGTGGGTGGAGAGCAGCCGGGCAGCTGGTCTGTGGGAAGAGCATGTCAGTCCCTCGGCGAGCACCTCCTCCCCACTGTCCACCTGCCCGCTTCCACCTGGGGCGTGGGGAGGCAGGAAGCTAAAAAGGGGGCTGGAGCAGGGTCAGGCTGGGGAGGAAGGTAGGCTGAGAGCCCCTCCTCTGGTAAGAAACGGAGCAGACTGGGTCATTCACTCTCTCATACATTCATCAGTCCGTCATCCAGCCCTGGGCGCCACCCTTTCACGGCCCTGTGTCTTCCCGATGGGAGTGCTGAGCACAGTGTGGTCATTGCCTCGGGAAACTTGCTGAAGGAGAGGACACCAAAGCCTGGGACCTGTGCTGCCACCTGAGCACACCCAGCCTGCCCTCACAGGTCTCCCGGAGGAGCAGGAGAGACAGAGAGACAACCAGTGTAGCACCCACGGCAGCTCCCCGAGTGTTGACGAGAGGCTGGCACTGGCCTAAGGCCCTCGAACAAGCCAATCCACTATGCAGCACCCTTATGGTAAAACCGTCATTGTCTCCGTTTATAGATGGGGAAACTGAGGCTCAGAGAGGAGCAGAGACTGGCTCCAGGGGCCCCAGGGAGTTAGTTGCAGAAGCAGGGGCAGAAACTTGATGTCCTGCTCCCAGCTCCGGGTTCCTTCCCCACACCACGCCGCCTTCCTTGCTGTTCTGCACCCCACCCTCTAGAATTCAGAGGGGGTGCTCTGCAACCCCTGCCCCTTTCTTGCAATATTTGACCCGTATTTGAGGATGGATGTCAGGTGTGGCTGAAGAGGAACTTGCAGCAGCCGTGGGAACTGGGTTCAAGCTTTCACTCTGCTATCAAGATGCTGTGTGACTTGGGCAAGGCCCCCAACCTCTCTGGTTCCAGCTTCCTCATTGGTCAGCCAGAAGGCTGGACCGGATGCTTTTGAAGGGCTCTTGGCAGGGGCTGTATCTTAGGGCAGCTCCGGAGAGTGTGGGGTGGCTCAGGGTGGGCTCCCTGGGGGAAGTACAAGGCTTGGGGGAGGATGGCTGCAGCCTACAGGTCACTTTCCAGGGGACACTGGAGATTTGTCCCCCTCCCCACCAGCTCTGGCTCGGCTTATCATCCACTTGTCTTGGGCGGCTCTTCCGAGTGGCATCTCGGGTTTCAGCTCAGAATCTGTGATACTGGGGTCGTGGGAGACGCAGGGGCAGGTGGGTGGCCCGCTGCTAGCAGAGCTGTGGGCAACCCGTCTCTCCCGGGTTATCTCTGGGCTGGGATAGGCTGGAAAGTGAGAAGCTGCCTTATCTCCTCCACTTCCCTCCGGAGACAGGGCTGCCTCAAAGCCCTCTTGTTCGGCCCCCCATGCCCACTGGCCCCCTGGGAGGTGGGGGCACCAGTGCAGCACTGAGGCCGTGGGGGGGCAGCAAGAAGTGAGACCCAGTGGACCGAGCACCAGGCGGGGGCAAGGGGCCACAAGGGTTTCAAACCCCCCATTCACTCCCTCACCATACACTTGAACACCTACTGTGTGCCAGAGCAGAGGCGAGATTTAAACTAGCTCACACCCAGTGTGGCCCAGGCCCTGGCCAGTCAGGTGACCAGGGAGCGCAGGTCCAGGGATCCCCTGCTGGGCCAGGTGGCTCATGAGGAGGACTGGGGGCTCCGGGGGGGGGGCCAGGCAGCATGGGGGGCATTGGAGGCCTGGAGCCGAGGCTGGTTACCGGGTGACATGCAAGGCCTCCCAGAGACCCACACCTGCAGGGTCACGGTGTGGACGGGGGGCAGAGCGCCCCCTCGGTGGGTGTGGCCTTGCGCTCCGTGTGTAAGTGGGTCTGGGGGTGGCTTGTTCTGCACAGGCAGCTGAGCTGGAAGCTTGCCCCTCTGTGTCCGTGGCTGCACACTGTGCTGGCGCAAATTAGGGGGACCTGACGAAATTGCTGCTGTGTGACCATTTTCGACAAAAAGAGCCATTTCCGTGGAACTCGTGACCATGTCCCCTCGCAGGGCAAAAGGGACTTTGTGGATGTCATTAAGTTCAGGATCTTGAGGTGGGAGGTTTGCCTGGATTATCCGGGCGGGCCTGGTGTCATCACAAGGGTCTTTCTCAGAGGCAGACAAACTGACCTGTACACTTAAAAACAATGGGTAAAATGGCAAAAGTTGTGTTAGATATATTTTCCTACAATTTTAGAAAATTAATAACGTAATAAACCCCAAATCATTACACTGCACACTTTAAATGGGTGAATTGTATGGTACGTGAATTATATCTCAATAAAACTGTTAAAAAAAAACCCAAAACAAATGGAGGGACATTCTACAAAATAGCGTTCCTGAGAAGCGTCCGGGTCAGGAAAGACCGAGGGACATCACGGATGGGAGGGACTAAGGTGACACGGAGACCAAACGCACGTGGGATCACGGACGGATTCTGGAACAGGGAAAGGACACTGGAGACAAAGCTGGTGACATCCGAATCAGGGTTGTCTCAGCGCTGACGTCTTCTCTGTGGAAAGCGTGGCCCAGTTACGTGAGTGGAGTCTGGGTGGAGAGCGTCTGGGAACTCTGATTTATTGTTGTAACTTCTCGAACGCTCAGATGAGTTCTACATAAAAAGTTTAAAAAAAAATAGGAGAGAAGACGGTCAAAGTCAGAGAAGAGGTGTGACGATCAGAAGGAGGGAGATGGGAAGATGTGGGCCTTGAAGACAGAGTTAGAGACACACGTCGAGGCAGGCGGCTGCCTCTAGAAGCCGGAACGGGCGACGGAGCGGACTCTCCCCGGAGCCTCTGGAAGGAGCGCAGCCCCGCCGACACCTGCATCTCCAAAGCCACGAGATAAAAACTCTGTGCTGTCGCCACCTTTGCGTGAATTGGTCACAGCAGCTCCAGGAAACTCACCCAGAAGGCCGGGCGGTAATAAAGATACTGGCACCAACGCGAGCGCTTAGAAGGGGCACTGCTGTGGCCTGACGCGCTCGACCTGCGAGAACTCAGCGGGTCCCTACACAGCCCCTGCAGAGGGGGCTTATTGTTCCCATGTTACAGAGGAGGAAACTAAGGCACAGAGAGGTTAAGGAACTTGCCCGAGGCCACGCAACTGGAAGCGGCAGAGCGGGATTCTCACCCAGGTGGGTGGCTGAGTGTGTGCGTGGAGCCGCTGCCCTCGCTGCCCGGCCCCAACCTGTGTGTGAATTCTCACCCCACCTGGTCGGTGAGAGGCCCTTTACACAAAGGACTTGGCTAATTTCACAACTACTCTATGGGGTAGATGTTCTCGTCATTCTCTGTTTCATAGGTGGGGAAACTGAGACCCACCTATGTGAGATGGCGGTGCTTGCCCAAAGTCACACGGACAAGGCTAGGGAGTGTGCCCCAAAGATGCTGCGCCTCCAGCTGGGGCCTGGGACGCCCTCCTGCCCCCAGGCCACATTCCCTGGGCTCCCTGAATGGGAATGGCATCTTCATCAGATGTCCCCACACCCCTGCACACCAGAGGCTGAGGGACATCCCGGCCCCATTGTTCGGGCCAGGAAGCCACCCCTCCCTTGACGGCCAGAGGAGGCGGTCTCTGGGGGGCAAGTTCCTTTCCAGAGCCTTGAACACCGGTGGTTGGGGCCAGGACAGAAGACACGCTGGCCCCTTAAGGGCAGGGGCTGGAGTGGGGGCTGCTCACCCACGGTCACCCGTCACCAAGTCTATTCTCATCAGAAACCCTTCCTGGCGGGGGGTGGTGGACCCAGGACCAAGGGCAGCTGGTGACAGCCATGGAGGTGGGGGGTAAGGGGCTCTTGTTTAAGGCACGTCCTCCTCCCTCTCTGGGCTCAGCTTCCTCAGCTGTAAGGTGGGAGAGTGGGGCCAGGTTCTGCGGCCCATGACCTGTGGTTTGATCCCCTGTTCATTCACGACAATAGAGTGGACACCCACTGAGGCGTCCACGCCAGGTCTGTCCCACTTAGGTCTCACGATGACGGGGAGCGAAGCACGCCATGACAGCCTGGTTTAGAGGTGAGGAAACTGAGGCACAGAGAGGTTATGGAATGCCTAAGGTCACCCAGCCAGTGAGCATATGCATACGCCCGGGGTTCAGGCTCCCTGGGCTGCCCAAGGCCCCCAGCTGCACCCGCTGTCCTGCCGTCACTGCACGCTCCCTTTTCCCTCCTAACCCGCACCGAGCTGGGGGGCAGCAGCTGGATCAGGGACGAGGGTTGGGGACCCAGGATCTCTGGATATGTGTGGGCAGGGTTGTGGGAACTTGAGAATGTGGGTGTTGCTGGTGCTCCAGGTCCCATGCCTGCTCTGGGCTGAACCGGGGCTCAGGAGCCAGCTGCAAACCCCTCTCTGCATCAGGCAGGGCTTCCTGGAGGAGGTGGCATCTTAGCAAGAGTAAGCATTAAGCAGGTAAAGGAAGGGGGAGAGGGCATTCTGGGCAGAGGGAACCCCAGTTCAAAGAAATAGGGACTCTCCATCGTGACCTTTCACCTCCAGCTGCCAGGCCTGGTTTCTCAATGCTGCTTCCTGGACCTGTGCTGTCCTGGGACCCCTCTGAGCTTCTTCTGGCCGAGGCAGGGCCGTCTGTCCACCTGCGGGGCCTTCCTGTACCTGCCAGCTTCCCCACTGGACTGTCAGCCAGGTCTGAAGAGCCTGGACTCAGGGGCCCAGTGCCCTGTTCAAATGCTGCCTCGTTCCCTGCAGCTCCATCACCAAGACCGAGTGACTGCACCTCCTGTTGTCTCTATGTTGCTATTGTCACCATTCTCATTACTGAGTCCCTCCAGCCAGTCACAACCACGAGGGGCCCGCGGACTGAATGTGTGCGGGAAGGAGGACCCGGGAGCTGAGCACAGTGGGGGCGAGGCATCTCGGCTGAGCAGCAGTCCCCGGGGACCACCTGGGAATCGAGCTCAGCAGGGCCAGGTCAGCAGCCTGCTTGGGAGAAGCCAGGAACCCAGACTCTTGTGAAGTGTCCCAATTTTTAGGGGAAGGCCGAGTCGTAGAAAATAGTTTGGGGTCAAGGCAAACCAGGCTAGACGCTGCTCTCGGGGCTGTCACAGGTCACCCTCTGCTTCTCAATTCTGCTGGGGACTCTAACATGCAAATGAGCCCCCCAATTTGCATATGGCCAAATGCAAAGGTGGGTGGGAATGCCCCTGTCCTTCCTGTTGGCTCCTTCGGGATGGAAACGCCTTGGGGGCAGCGGGTTTTGCCTGTTTTGTTCACTGTGCCTGGCACACAGTAGGTGCACTTTGTTGAATGAATGAGTGAGGGGCACATGATGATGGGGGTAGATGAGGTACAGAGGAGGGGTTTCGGGCATCGGCTGAGTGACCTCTGTCACCTCTGGGCCCTCTCTGCTCATCTGCAGAATGGGCGTGGCCCGGGTCTTTCGGACAGCAAGCCAGAAACCTGCATGAGTCACTGCCCCAGCGATTCCATTCCAGCCAAGGAGATAGCCCTTCAAACGGAAAAAGGAAAGCTTTCTGCACACAGATCTACCAAAATATATTATTTGTAATGTTGAAAGCTGGGAATAACAGAGATGGCCAACAACAAGAGAATGGCTAAATAAACTATGGAACTTCCACTTGACCAGATATTAGGCAGCCAATAAAAATGAGGTTCAGAGAAGAGGAAAAAGAGAGGGGGTTACGGAGAGCGACATCAGCAGAGCCGTGCCCGCGACAGAACGGGAAGGCAAAAAGGCAGGATACCACCGTTTTGTTTTTTCATTTAATATACAGTATGATCTCAGCCATGTTTAAAAAAAGTCCCAAACAAAAAACTATGGAAGGAAATACATCAAACCTTAACAATGATCGTCTTTGGGTGGTGGGGCTGTGGGTGGCGATTTTTCTTCCTTATTTTGACTTTTCTGCATTTTTCAGATTTTTATAAGTGAACACGTATTGTTGCTTTTATAGTAAAGACATGAAAAGTGAAAAAAAATTAGAATTCGGGAGTGGCAGTCGATGCTGCATAAGGTCTGCCCGGGTCTCTGAGAGGGAAGGTCAAACTCACCTCCGAGGCTTCAAGGAAGGTTCTGGGCTTGGGTTGGCAGCCCGAATGTCAGAACCAGGCTGCCCGTGTGACCCCGGGCAAATCGCTCCATCCTTTTGGGCCTCAGTGGGCTCACTTGTCAAATGGGGCCTGGTCCCCCACTTCACAGGGGTGTAGCGAGAACAGGACAAGATCATGGCTTTATAAGGCCTTCGGGAACCCCGACAGAAGGAACGTAAATGGTGCCATTGTCATCAGTTCCTGGGAAGGCCAGTCTGCTTTCAGACACCTGGGGCAGCTGTCAGCATCCTCAGCAGGGAGCCCCCAGGAGTATTTTTGGCCCTGGCGGTACAGATGTTCCTGACTCACTTTGGAAGGTAGAATGAGGGTGGTTTCCAGAACTATGCCCGGGGGTCAGAGTCCTGGGTTCTGATCCCAGCCCTTCCCCCACTGCTGTGTGACCCGGGGAGAGTCGCTCAGCCATCCTAGCCTCAGCTTCGCCTATGCCCTGGGCTCTGGACACAGAGCTCACCAAGATTCTGAAACTCTCTCTGTTTGAATGAGGCCGCCTCACCCAGGCCCTTAGGGGTGGGCACCCAGGAGTGTGAGGGGCAGCCCCTTTCCGCAGGGGTCCCCGGAACCTCCAGGGGGGCTTGTGAGCTCACCTCCAGCACATTCTTCCCCCGGAGGGCGTGGGAGTGTGGGGGTTGGAGGGACATGTCCCAGTGGATCTCTGGAAGCCCAGCTCCATGATGGGGGGATCACCCTCAGTTTCCCTCAGCACCCTCCGTCACATTTGACCCCCCCCCCCACCGTGGGTCCAGTGGTGGGGGACGGTGGGGGCTGCTGTGGGGCGGGCAGTGTGTGTACACGTGGCCTGCACGTTCCCAGCCTGTCCTTGGTGCCATGAGGAGCCTCAGAACCTCAGTCCTGACCACTCCCAGCGTCCCCCATGACACGCAGATCTGTCCTACCCCTGTAGATGCAGATCAAGGAGCTCAGGCCCAATTAGGTTCTGATTAACCACGCAGTTAATGCTTGACCTGTGCTCCCCCCGGGCTGGGCTTGCTGCAGGAGCCGCCACAGCGAATCTTCAGAACCATTCTGTGAGACAGGCCATGATGCTCTTCAGCACTTACAGATGGGGAAACAGGCTCAGCAAGGTGAAGAAACTCTCCCGAGGCCGCACAGCTGACAAGGGGACAGGGCCAGGATTTGAACCCAGGCTGTCTGGCTCAAGTCCACACTCGTGACTGCGATGTTTTGAGGTCATTTAACCTCTTCCAGCTGCTGCTTTG